CATAGACCAGGACGGCTTTGAATCCATAGAGATTGGTTGGCCTTTGTCTCTTGAAGGCTGGGATTAAAGATACGCACCACCATATCCAGCAAAAATACCAAGTTAAAAAAACAAAACAAACAAAATTTAACAGTACATTTTAAACATTGGATTTTATGGTGTTTATTCTCAAAGATGCTTTAAAAAATTCTGCAGACACAGTAGGAATTCTACTCGGGGAAGACTGTTATCTAAGGATTTCAGGACCCATACTGCTTTGATTTGTCTCATAAATTCTCAGGGTATCCAACTCCCTGGAGCTTGACTTCCTACCTGTCATATGCGGAGAGACACTTGTTCATTTGGCTCACACCTGTCCTTACATTTTCCTAGAAATATCTATGTGGCACTACATAGAGAGTTGAAGAGCTTAGACCCTGACCCAGGGGGTTCACCCTGTTGGCCTTTCTCATTTTGTGCATTCCCACTTCTAAGACACCTTCCCATACAATGGTCCCCCAGACTAGCACTCCATGCCTCCTGCTAGCAGGGTGGATAATGTTGGAAAAGTACTTATGAGGACCTGCGGGACTAAGAGTTATAAGATCTCTCTTACTATTCTCTACTCCTGAAAATCTTGCAACAGGCAGATTCTTCTTGTCCCCAACCCTGAAAGCCTGAGACAAATGGACAGGGGACATTCATCCATCTAAGAGATGTTTAATGTGTCTTGGGTTTAAGGTACAAAACACAAGGCAGGGGCGAACCCCAGGAAAGCCACGTGGCACTCAGTTAGCTGTCCCCAAACACTGTAGCCAGGAACCCTAGCCCTACGGTAACGGTGCAGTGGCCCTGGGGTACCTGCTTCCTTCTTCCTTTGGGAAAATTTTGAGGTGGTGACATAGGAGCCCAGAGGCTTCTTTGTCTCCTACTCAGAAATCTCAGCTCCATGTCTCAGAAAGTTCCAGACTTAGGCCTAGAGCAGCTGACTGGCTAAGAAGCAGCTCTGACCTAAAGCCTGGCCCGGGGCCTGGTCCTAGAAAAAGAGGCACCATTACCTCAACATCTGGCAGCAGAGGAAAGGGCTGAAGCAAGGGAGGCAGATGCCCGCTACTCCTGCAGCTGACCCACAAGTCAGCGGAGCGGAAGGCTGAGGCCTGCACCACATCCTACCCCAGCCACTGAGGACCAGCCCCTCAGAAAGCCTCACTGCCGCAGCACTGACGCTGACCTGGTACTGGAGAGGAAGTGGAGGACAGGGAAGACCAGTGTCCACAGAAGAACGATGCCCTTGCTTTGGGGGCAGGAACAGCTGCCAACGGTATGTCCAGGGAGACGCCCTAGGGAAGGGACATCAGCTTGTGGGTCTATCCCCTAGAACTCTGGACTGGATCCTGAGCCGTTTTTGAAAGGAAGAGTGGAGGGCTAAGAGCAGGGAGATTGGTAAGAAGGGTCCCTGTGAGGACCAGCCCAGGAAACCCTTCAGTCCAGGCCCCTCTGGCCCCACACGAGGCCGAGGAGGCTCCTCTCCCCATTGCTTGAGGAACACTTCCCACAGGGGCGCCACATCCTGCTCCTCCCTGAGGCCCTGGGCTACAGGCGGCCTCCTCTGTTGAACTGGATGCCCCAGTGGGAGTTGGCAGTGCCTGGACTAAGGTGGGTGTGGTCCTTGGGGCCCATGAGGGGCTGCAGCTCCTGCTGCTGGGGGATGTCAGCACTGCTCTCACTGCGAGAACGGCCAGCTTTGGCCAGGCTCGGGGGAAAGGCAAAGCTAGAGCGAGGGTCAGAAGACAGGTCAAGAGGAACCGGGGTCTCTTCCATACCCAGTGGGTGGGGAGGCAAGCGGGTTAAAGTGGGAGGCTGGGTACAGGGCGGGGATGCCAGGCTCTCCAGGGATGAGATGCTCTGGTTCCAGCCTGTCTGCATGTCCACGGGCACAATCTTGGTTGTTTCTGAAGACACATATACAGCCAGGTCCCCCTGCCCACTCTTCCAGGGTAACTCCTTCTCTGCACAGGTTGGGGAGGGGGGGATGATGCGTGGGCTCGGGCACACCTCCAGGCTTCCTGGGGACATAGAGAGAGCACATGAGTTCATTAGCAGTGAAGTGGGATCCTCAAGTGCACTCAAGGTCACCATATTATGTTCATCTGTGCTGTACACAATAAACATCTTCCTGGAAGAAAGCACCAGACTGCTTTGCTTTCTCTTGTGGTCCAGCAGCAGCACAGGGCTGCACACAGAACAGTTGTTCACGAGGGACATACTGAGCAGATGGCAATTAACTACAGCTCAAGAAAACCAAACAGGAAGGACGTCTTGCCTCCGATCACCCTCATCAGCACCAGCAACTGCATCCTGCTAAAACCTCATCCTGACCAACCAGTGAGACTGTGGCAACGAGGGACCAGTGCCAGGCCAAAGCCTTCGGAGGCAGTGTCAGGAGGATCATGAGTTTGAGGCTAACTAGTAAATGCAAGGCAAGCCTAGATTACATCGTGAGACCCTGTCTCAAAATAAACAAACAAATAAAATGAGAACCAAGGAAATCTGACTCCCATCTAGATTTTTTTAAAAAGGTTTTTCAAGACAGGGTTGTTCTGTGTAGCCCTGGCTGTCTTGGAACTCGCTCTGTAGACCAGGCTAGCCTCAAACTCACATAGATCTAGCCTCCCAAGTCCTGGGATTATAGGCATGGGCCATCACTGCCCGGCTCCAACTAGATATTTTATGAGTGAGATTTTATATATTGTCATGATATTGTGGTTGTGTTTTAAAAAGAAACACTTATCTTGTATGTTGAAGTATTTGTTGATAAAATGAGATGATATTTGAGATTTTCTTTGTAAGAACCCTGAGGAACAAGTATCACTGGTGAAGGCATAAATGAAGATGAGCTGTGAGCAGGTGATTATTGAAGCTGAGAAATGGACAGGTGAGGTTTTACTTCACTATCCTGTCATTTCATATTTTGAAATTTTCTGTAATAAACTTCTCTAATGTCCCCTGAGTATTTGTGCCAACTACCACTGAAACCCTAGCATTAGGAGGGAGATCTCCGCATGCAGAAACATGTATACTGCTTTTTTATTCACAAGGATTCCATTTTGATAGTCCAGGTTCCTCCCAAGGTCAGATGCTGACCTCCTCGCTCAGAACTCTATGTGCCAGCAGGGGTGCTAAGCCTGGGTCATAAGAGAGCTGGCTTTTAGATCTGCTTATCACTTTGTGTTCCTCAGGCGGCAGTCTTTGAAGTCAGGTGGGTCAAATTCAAATCCCGCTTTTATCATGTGGTTCTGGACCACTCACCAGTCTCTAAGGCTCTGTGAGCTTGGTTTCCCCATCTTGGGCATTGTGAGGGTTTGAGGGAGATCACTGTATAAGGTTTCTGGTGGAGTCAAAATGCTTAGTAAATGCTGGTGGCGAATAAACTAGCAATCAGGAAGAGTGTTTCCTGAAGCAGAGGCCAGGAGAGCAGATGGAGGAAAAGCTGGCTGCACAAGGGAGAGAGAGAGCCTGCAGGGAAGTCATTACCTGCGACCTTGCCTTCTTGGAGGACCTCGCTGGTGGCTCGCGCCACGAAGATGATCCCTTCATCGTCTTCCTTCTCTGTCTCTGAACTGTCGCTTTCCTCCTCCTCCTCAGACTCCACGGTTAATATCACAGCAGCTGGACAGGGCAAAGCTGAGTCAGGGCAGCCAACCCAGTGGCTGCTTCTTGGTACCCGAAGCTAGCTCCTGCCCCCTCCCCTGGGCAAGGCCCATGTGGGCAGAGGACCTGCATCTTCCTTCAGCCTTTCTGGGTGCTGGCCTCGAGTGTTGGGCGTGAGGGAAAGGAGAGAAGATTGCACAGCTCAAGGAGCAACCTGAAGGTGCTGAGTTCTCAGAGGAAGCCATGAGGGCCACGCCAACAGCTCCTTCCGTTATCAGCCCCACAAGGCTGGAAGGTCAATTAACATTCAGCTCACAGGGAACTAGGTTTTGATGATGCACACTACAGCTTCGGTTCCACCTACCCTCCAAGGCCCAGGCCAGTCTACCCATCTCCACGACCTTTTCCAAGTCCTCAATAGTCTGTAGTCATACTCAGCCATCTTGTCATACATGGTACACTGACTGGAACTACTCCAACACTCAAGTGTGCCTATCTAGTCCCTGAGGGGAGAGGCCCAGCTCATGGTGCTAAGTGATCCCAGAGACCCTCCAGGATCTGGATGACAGCCCTCCTCCTCCTCCTCCCTTCTGTCCCCAAGCTCCCTGCTTGCCTGTGTCCGGAAAGCCCAGGTCTCGAGGAGGTTTCCCATTTGTAGCTTCAGGGTTAGCCACACCATCCTTCTGAGGACCAGAAAGCAAACCTAAGACTCTGGCCTTGGTTCTACCACCCATCCATAAACCCTAGCGAGAGTCAACAGAACAAGCCTTGCTAACCTGTGGGGGGGTGCTTATCACAACAGTTCTTCCACCCTACTATTCCCAGGTCAGCCAGGCAGGAACTGTGGTGTCTAGAGGGACTCACTTCCTACCTGGGGCTCTGGATACACGGGCCTGGATTGGCCGAAGGGCTCCTAGCATTGCCTCACCAAGAACTCTGCCCTTTTCTTGTTTCACCTCTGGTAGCAAGTGATCCCACAGCTGAGAGGCTGTCCTCCCTTTGAAGCCACGACCCGCCCCCCCCCCCAAAGGTCTCAGACAGGCCTAAAAAGAAACCCAAACCTCTATATTCATCGAACCCTGAAGGTGATTAAACAAAATGTCTCCCCGGACTGTGTTTCAGAACGTGAGGACTCAGAATTATTTGTTATCAGCCCACAGCCCCATACGAGGTGTCCCGGAGAAAAGACATGCCTTCTTGTGGCCGGCCTTGCGGGGTCGAGGTTTATTCTTGGTGAAACAGATGTTATGCTTGGTGGACTTAAAGGACTCCAGCCGTCGCTTCATGTTCTGCTGGAAGACTTCCTTGTCTTGTCGTTCCTGGGCATCCTCGGAGATGAAGTGGCGGCCGCAGCTAGCTTTGTACTGGCAATGACAGCCCGACCATGCCATGAGGCTGGGCGCCTTGGCCTCCCACAGGGACCCCAGGCCACAACCCCAACATGTTCATCACGTGTCCTGCCAGTGCAGCTTTTCCACAATTAGCCATGGATTAAAAAATAAAACTAAAGGCCGGGGGTGGTGGCTCAGGCCTTTAATCCCAGCACTCAGGAGGCAGAGGCAGGCGGATCTCTGTGAGTTCAAGGCCAGTCTGGGCTACAGAGTGAGTTACAGGACAGGCACCTAAACTACACAGAGAAACCCTGTCTCAAAAAACCAAAAAATAAAAATAAAATAAAAATAAATCACACAAAAGGACTAGAGCCAGGGGCTCTGAACCAGTCAGTTCACTAGGGAAAACTTCCTTTCCCCACAAATTACTCCTCCAAACCTGGCTTTCTTCATCCTCTGCTGCCCTTTCCTCCGCCCTATCTAATTGGAGGTGATAAGAGGCAGGGGTTCTGTACTTTGTTCCCTGGGGCTACAGTAAAGCCACAGAGCCATATCCTTTGCATGTCCATTTATCTCTGTGTGGCTCACACATCCAGCCCACATAGCCCCAGGGTGCTACACAGGATCCTCTTGCTGGCTGTCTTCCTTCTAGACATTTCTACAACTACCACAACATCAGGCCTATGCTTTGGACTTTCCTAACTACCTGCCCTAGGTCCTCTTGGCCCCAGCACTGCGTACTTAATTTAGGGCCAACTCTTTATCTGCTCCTTTTAACTCTTTCTCATACAGACCAAGCCCTCCACACACTCACCCAGCTTGCCTATTTCTGCTCTTGGGAGCTTAGCAACCTTTTCCTGTATAGGGGAAGGTAATCACCAAGGTACTGCCTAGATCCTCCTGGTCACTCTGTCTTGCTTCACATTCTATCTGGTTCTTTTCCTTTCTTTCTTTCTTTTTTTCTTTGAGTTTTTCAAGACAGGGTTTCACTGTGTAGCTCTGGCTACAGTGTTCTAGAACTCTCTCTGTAGATCAGGCTGGCCTTGAACTCACAAGGGATCTGCCTGCCTCTGCGTCATGATTGCTGGGATTAAAGGTGTGCACCACCCCAACCTGGCTTGGTTCCTTTCTTCTTCCTCGTATTTTCTGTTTCTCTGAACCACTTCTGTGAGCTCCTTGACGTCTCCCATCTGCTTTTCTTCTCTGGAAAGTACCTGGAAATGCCGCCCCACCTCTAGGGCAACGTGGTCCTGTCTCCGCTTTGCTCAACTCACTCCTTCCTGCCTCCCTCAGTTCTCAGCTCCTCCCATTTCTCCTGCATCTTTACTTGGCTTACAGCAGCCACCTGACCTCCGCTTCCAAACAAGCTCCTGCCCTTGTTTTTAAGGTCCTCTCGTTGCCACTACTAGCTCCCTTTTGAGGCCAAGCGCTTATAAATTGTTTGGGACACTTTCCTTCCTGTCTAGTATTTCCTTAAACACCCAAAATGCTATTCCAGTCTGCAATGCTGCCTTCTCCCTGGTCACCAGTCCTGACCTCTGTACGTCAGCCAGTCCTTCTTCTCCCCAGGCAGAGACACTATCTGCTCTATCTTCTCCAAGGGTTCCGTTCTCTCCTTTGCTGGCTCCCTCTTCCTTTCTCCACGTATATTCCTCTGTATTATTCTTGGCTCTGTTCTCTTTTTTTCTAAACACTCTCCCCAGAGAACTTACACTCTCTCCACTTCAACTAACCCAGTGACATGATCTGCAGTTTCAAAACAGCAGGCACCAGACCAGCTGCATTTGAATCATCAGGGGGGCTTATTAAAAACAAAGATTCTTAGTCCCGCTCCACATTACAGGATCTAAACCTCTAGGCGGTGAAGCCAAGGATATTCTATCAAGCTTCTCAGGGAATTCCGGGACAGTCAAACGAGGAGAGCTCTGCTGTGCGCGCTTCCAAATCTTTCTCTCCAGCCCCTTTATCTCTCTTAAGCTATAATCTTAATTAACTATATACTGTCTCTAATACTAATCCTGGAGAGAACATAAGGAATTAAGGACCGTGTCATGGTGCAACTAAGTGGATTCAGAACTAGATGACTAACCATACCCCAAAATGCTCCATCCATGTCAGTCTGGAGGAAAGTCTTTAGTACTATGCCACAGGGCTCTATCCCCAACTCTATCCTGTTCAATATTTATGATGATTTAGATGAATATAAAATTAACAGGCTTAGCAAGTTTTCAGATGATATGAATCTGTGAAAGAGACATTTGGTGATAGACATGGGATCCAAACGATGGAATGATGGCCAAATTAAATAAGACAACTTTAGCAAATAAGTACAAACTTACTCTAGTTCTTTTTAAATTGACGACACAAGAACTGAATCAAACCCACCAGTCAAGCGTGCATGCGCGTGCGCAGACACACAACCACGTGCTCTCTCTGAGTAACACAATAAGAAGTATATAGCACACCTGAAAGCCCCTGAATCTGCTTAAGCTGCAGATTTAATAACCAGAAAATATAAGAAATGGAGTAATGTGCTAAGTAACACTGGGATACAATCAGAAAAATCTAGAAAAATGGTAAATTCTCCAATATATAGTATCTAGTTTCTTCAATAAATAGCAAGAGGGGAAGGAAGAAGAAACTATTATAGTTTTTCTTAATGGAGGTCATATTTTCCAGATATAAATTGTGAACTTATTTTGGATCTTGACTTATGTAACCAGCTAGGAAAAACAGGTATTTATTGAACACTGACTGGGTATTTGATATAAGGAATTATTATAATAGCAGTACTATGATTTGATTTGACTTTTGAAGTGCTGGGGAATCAAACCCAGGGCCTCACAGATGCTAAGCAAATGTTCTACCGCTGTCCTATCTCCTTAGCCTAACCTTATCTTTTAACGTTCTTGAGAGCTGGAGTGGTGGTTCGCCCTTGTAATCAGAGTACTTGGGAGGCTGAGGCAAGAGAATTCCCAGTTTGAACCCAGTCCTAAGGCAACTAGCAAGACTATGTGTCAAAGAAGCCAAAATTTAAAAATAAGATAAAATAAACAAAGAGCTCTTGCCATATAGTGAGATGTTTATTAGATGATGTGACAGGATGTCTGGAGTCTGCTGTAAGATAAAGTGTGGGCAGGGTGTGGTGGGTTATAGACCGTAAAAAACTTCATCATGCACAGATAATTATTAGAGTCGGGTAACAGATAAATCAGAGTTATTTCGTTCTCTCCACTAAAATTTTGCAAAAGAAAAACATGAAAAGGAAAAGAAAAGTTGGATGAGGTGGGTCTGACAGCTATTATCTGAGGAAGACAGGAGGGTAATGGCAGAGTGTGGAGACAGTATGAAGTCCTTAATTAGTGAGCCAAACCAGGGATCCTGGGCAGCATTAATAGGAAGTCTAGAACTAGGAAAGTTAGTGAGCCCCTACAACTTCCCCTAGACAGCCATCTAGTAGCTCCTCCATGAGGTGAGTGAGGAGAGGCTTCTCATGGCCAAAGACACATCAGAGTCAGAGGAGGGTACTGGAGACAGAGGGCCTGTGTGAGTAAAGCTGCCTGGAAACCGCTGAAGCTTATTCTGCAGAACTAGAAATTAAAGAGAGGTGTGTGTAAATTAAGCGAATTCTAACTCAGTGTTCTAAAAGCCTTGCTGCAGTACTGCGTGAGATTTGCACTTCCAAAGGCCCAAGATAATGGCCTGCTGCCCCCTTGTGGGGTTACACAAGATCCTCTCCTGGGTGGGATGGGCCTTTCCAGACACAAAGCTCCAAAGCTACCTAGTTTGCACAGGCTAATCCACCTCTGCCCTGTTAAACTGGTTCCAAAGGCCTCCTCAGGTCCCTGCTTCCATCTCTGACCTGCTTCTCCAAGCTCCTTCTCCTCTATCTCTTCCTCTCCCCTCAGGGATAATGTCCATGTCCTGTGTGCTCCTCTCCTTAACACCCAGCTTCTAATCCAAAGTGCTTCCTGCTAGAGTCCCAACTGGGTCAGTGCCTACGAATCCACAACAACAGCTAAAATGATGTACACCCTGCAGCACTTCCTCCAAGTCAACCAGAGCAAAGGACGAAACCCGCCGCCTTCAACTGGGCATTCACAACCGGACACAAGCTGGTACCAAGTCTCTTAAGTCTCTGGCCAAGGCCCCTGCAGTCCACTCCCCACCACCCTCAGGGCTCTCACCCTGCGCCGTGGCTTGTAGAGGCCTCCACAGAGCAGGTGATGCATCACAGCATCCTCCCGGTCCCGGCCACTGCGTACTGTGTCAATCACTTGCAGATCCAGACAGGCTCCACTACCACTCTCCCTCCTGCAGGAGGCAGGGACATGTGTGCTGAGGGGTGGGCGGCAGGGGTGAGGGGAGGGGCAGAGGCACAGGTGCTCACAAACCGTCCCCAGGAGGGATCTGGGGAGGAGAGCTTGAGGAAGGGGAAGGGCCCTCACGGACTCACAACAGGTTGGTGACAGAGGTCTCTGCCACAGAATTTCTGCTAGGCATAGAGGGCAGAGTGAGTCCTGCCGAGGACAAGACGTGGCCTCCCTGTAGGAGTCAAGGTGGAGGTCAGGCAAGGATCAGATGATTACCCAGGCCAGAGAGAAGGTAATAAAGAGAATAACATGCGTTAACAATTATTTTGATGACTATTTTGCTTTGAGCCGTGCTTAGGATTACTTGGGTTCTCCAACACTATGCAAGAGCTGAACCACTGAGCGACACCCCCAGGCATTATTTTGTTCTTTGTCTTACCAGATACGAAACACTTCACCCACTGAATTCTTAAAATCGGACCTAGGTAGTCCTATTCTTATTGCTACTCTCTCCTCACTGAGGGAACTGAAGCTCAGGCAGTGTAAGTCGCTTATCTAAGCATCGGCCTATACATGAACTGTGTCTGTGGACTCCGGAGTCCAGCTGTTTCCCACCTTTCTGTACTGCCTGTCACACTGTCAACAGCAGGCTGGCTCCAGCAGCTGTGACTTCACAACCCCGTGGAGCCAGCTGGGAATTCCAACTCCCTGGCCCCGGCTAACAAGCCTGCCTGCCTGTCATCCCTTACTGCCCGGCTCTGCTGACCATCTGTCTGTCCACTGCTGGCCTACCTGGTAACTGCTGGCCCACCTGGTCCACAAAACTGATGGCATCTCGGATGTTGAGTCTGTAGTACACATCCCAGATCTGGTCTCTGATTCGATAGGCTGACCGCCGCATCAACAGCTGACTCAGGTACTTCTTGTCGAATTGTTCCCACCTACAGAGGATGCCACGCCCAGCCCTGAGTACCGTTCTCAAGGGGTGGCTGGCTGGCCCTTCCTCAGATAGGGCAGGGACACTGCCAGCGCTGGCCTGGCTTTCTTGGAAGGAGTCTCAGCCAAAGGGAATCCCAAGGCTAGTCCCTGCTCTTAGAGCCTTTGCAGTTTTAGGAGAGAGTGTGATATTAGTTAAAGGTATTTCAAATAACTGTAAAAATTATAACCATGACAAAAACTACCAAGGATAATTATAATGGGGATTTGTCCTTGTCAGGGAGGCCAGAGGTCTCTCAGGAATCAATGCCTGTGGTTAGATCTGCAGGGTGATTCAAGTCTAAGTAAGAGGGAAGGAGGCAGTGTTCTAGGAGACAGAACACATACACCGGTCTCAGTGGCCAGGCCTGGACCACAGGGTGGGCTCTGAGGCTCCAAACAGGGCCTGTGTAATTATCAGGCGGACCATCAAAAACCCAACAGTGTATAAGGGGCTGGAGTCTGGCAGGTGCCGGACCATACGGGGTCTGGCAGGCCACCCTGGGGAGCTCTGTCTTATCCTGAGAACACTGGGGTGCCACTGCAGGGCTCCAGGCAAGGTCACCTAGCCTGAACCTGGCTGTGTCCCTTCTCAGGAGGGTGGCAGATCCCCCATGCCGCCCTGGCCGGCGGGGCTACTGCTGCTGAAGGAGCCTCGGGCCAGCTCCCTCACCTGTCCCTCCAGTAGTGGTAACCATGGTGCCCCACAACGTCCTCCACTGCAGCCAGAATGTGGTCAAAAGTCTAGAATGGGGGTGGGTAGGGGGACTGGATCAGGACGCTGCCAACACAGGAGAAGGGAGAAAGGGACAGGTGGAGGGATGGGGTTCTGGTACCCACGTGCTCATGCAGCTCCTGGTTCAAGGTAGGTTTGTGATGATCACTCCGCTTCACCCTCAGCCACTTGACCAGTGGCTTGATGGTCAAACCCTACGAACAGGCCGGAGGTGAGCGCTGCCCTATGCAGCTTCCCAGCAGCCTTTCTCCAAATAACCAGGCCTCAGCTCTGCCTCCACCCATTCCACTCAAGGTCCGAGAAGCCAGGTCCCTGCCTCCCGCAGTGGGAAGGGAAGCCCCTGTCCCAGAGTGTTCCAAGACTCTCCCAGGGCCTGCTGAACCCTCCCCCCGCCCAGCCTCCTGGGCACTCCCACCTGCACGATGACTGTGAAGAAAACCACCACAATAGTGGTAGCCACAAAGTAGTCCTTGGCAGGGACTTTGGTCCTGTCCAGTAGGATGACGAGAGCAAAGGCCACAGCCCCCCGAAGGCCCCCATAGGACATCACCACCTGGTCAATCTTGTCCAGAGGAACCAGCCGGAACTGATTCAGCACCCACGTCTGCAGGACTACCCCTACAGCAGGAGGGAGGCCAGCAGGAGCAAGGAGTTGGGGGTGGAGGCCACTGGGAATGGGTGGCACCAAGCATCGGGGCTAAGGCCTGGCAGGGGGTGGGACAGGTGAGCATTCAGGGGAATCAACAAGGATGTGGACTTGGATTGAGGGGTGAGTAGTGGGGTGAGAGGGCAAAGAAAAGAGACAGGGAAAAGGGCAGGGGATCAGAGGGTGTCGGCAATACCGAGGGCTCGGAAGACCAGGATGAAGAAGAGGGTGCCCAGCACCAGCCCAGAGTCCCAGGCCCATTTGGAAGAGTCCACGGCTGAGATGCCAAGCAGCATGAAGATGACTGTCTCGGCACAGCTAGCAAGGGTTTTCATGGTATATTTGACAGCTGTGCGCGACTTATGGGAGATGTTGGCTTCCACGTATTTCTTACATCCCAGGCCACACATGGTCACCCTGGGAGAGAAACAAAACCGCGGGTGAGGACGGTCCCAAAGGCTCAGTCTCACTGGGGCTTGAGCATGCTGTAGGTGGGGAGGCGGCACATCCCAGTGTGTCAGAGTCTCCAAGCTCAGGGGCGCACCAAGACTGCTCATTAGTGGTAGTTCTGGGACGGATACAGATCTCCAGGCTCCCCACTTAGTGCCTCTTTCTCTGAGTAGCACACCCTCCGAGGCATCCTTTAGGGTGCCATACCCGTAACAACCAGTGGTTTCAGGCCGTGAAGGACACTGGCAGCTGAGCCTGCACTCCAGGGAGGGGAAGTTTGAGCCTCCAGGTGCCCAGACAGTTCTGCAAGGTTGACTCTCCACTACCACAAGGGTTCAGTGACGCCTACAGATTCCTTAAGATCCTGCCTCTGGCCAGGTGAAGTGTTACTATTTCCAGAGCCCTTTCCCAGGTGCCTGCCTGGACACCCCCAGGACTCACGCAAGAATGGCAGACAACGAGGCCATTTCAGCAGTGAGGTAGGCTGCGTAGGCGAGGAGGAAGACCAGCAACGGCTCGATGATGCGGACCCGCTTGGTGAAGCGTGTGGTCAGGGCCAGGAGGAAGGCAAAGACTAAGCCCACGGCTGCCCCGCCCAGACTGACCACAAACAGGGAGGCTGGGGGAGGAGTGGGTTGTCAGCATGACCCCTGGCCCAGACCCTCCCCAAGCTGGGCTGACAGGACTGATGCCTGGTAAGAAGTAGAGGAAGAGACCCCCGACACCTCCCACACTCCCCAGGGCTCAGGATCCCAGACCAGGATCCCAGGGCAAGCTCCTCCCAGACCCCATTTCTCCATAGAGGAGAAGTAAGAAACGAGGCCATCAGAATAGCCTCCTCTGTCCCAGTGCTGGGTAGGTGGGAAGGCGGACATTGAATGCTGGCCAAGTGTGGGGAAATACTGACCGACTCCCTTTAGGTAGTCAGTGGCCTGCACATTGGCAGGGCCCATCTCCACAAAGGAGTTGCAGACCTTGTAGAGCACCTGGATGACAAGAGGAGAGTCAGGCTGTAGGAGGCGGCCACAGAGGGGAAGTGGGTTGGAAAAGAGGAAAGCTCAGACCCTATTTCCTCCCCAGGGGAAAGGTCAGAGGCTGCTCAGATACCCAGCTGGCAGAGCATGACATCCCAGTGTCAGGGGTTGGCGGGCCACTATGCATCCTCACCACAGTGACTGCATCATTGAGCAGGGACTCTCCAAAGACGATGATAAAGAGAGTCTCGTTGACGTGCACCTCCTCAAAGACAGCCAGCACAGCCACAGGATCCACCGCTGAGATGAGGCTTCCGAACAGCAAGAAGTCCAGCAGGCCAGCCTGGACCCGGGGGGCTATGAGGGAGAGACAGAAGACAGGCCTGACTGAAGATGACGCTGCCTCCAACAGTGCTCCTGGGACCAGCCCACAAGCTTTCCTGCCGGGAAGAAATAAAACCCAAGGGGACTTTGGAAAGGTAAAGAGACTGCTGGCTTATATTCTGGAGGCTTGAGCTGCCTGTGCCCAGGATCTGCCTTTGCAATCACCAGCTGGTGTGACATGGTTTCTCTCAGCCATGCTTCCTCCTCTGCCTAACTCACAAAACGGCGGCAAAACCATTTAGGTGGTGCTGGTAATAAAAACCGCAGCAACAGTAAAAGCAGCTGCCAGCAGGTAGAACTGGCTGCTGACTGGCTTTATTACCCAGGGTAACAGGAGACCATTTCTCCCACACCTGTGGTTCTCAGCCAAAGGGATGTGGCATACACACAATTCTCAGCAGGAAAGGAAGGTATGAACACAGTATGAAAAGTACCATAGGTGGGGTTTGAATATGTCAAATAACCCTGTGAGCCTCAGTTTCCCAATACACAAAATGGAAATAATACTATCAACCTCAAAAAGTTCTTTATTTAGCTAGTACCTAATAAATGGTAAGGAGCCAGTACCACCTATTATTAGAATTACTACTATGATTAGAATCTGAGGTCCTCCTTTTCCTTCCTGCCCCAAATAGTTCACTTTATTTATTTATTTACTTTATTATTATTTTTCCCTCAAGACAGGGTTTCTCTGTGTAACAGCCCTGGATGTCCTGAAACTCTCTTTGTAGACCAGGCTGGTCTCAGACTCACACATAGAGATCCACCTGCCTCTGCCTCTCAAGTGCTGGGATTAAAGGTGTGTACCACTACCACTCGGCTTAGTTTCACTATTTATGAAGTCCCCAGCTGGGAACTGCAAGCTTCTCCTTGTCACCTTAGAGGAAGTCTGGATTTTCAATATCAGGACTGAATGGATTCCTTGAGTCAGGAAATAAAGAAGAGCTTGGGAGAGGGCCTAAATGCAGAGCCTCAAACAAACAGAGGCTAATCGCGGGCCCTGGTATGAATGAACATAAGGGGCTCGACCTTCCCTTCCGTTAGATGAGTAAATCAGGGGCTGGAGAGGTGGCTCAGTGGTTAAGAGCACTGGCTGCTCTTTCAGAGGACACTGGTTCAATTCCTGACACCCACATGGAGTTCTCAACTGTCTGTAGTTCCAGTTCCAAGGGCTCTGACACCGTCATACACATATACGTGTGTGTGTGTGTGTGTGTGTGTGTGTGTGTGTGTGTGCAGGCAAAAAACAATGAACATGAAATAAATCTTGAAAAAAAAAATGAGGTAAATTTTACCTCGCCAGAGTCTTTAGGAAGAGCCATTCAGAAAGAAAGCCTAGCACAGCAGCTAGCATTTTATAGATGTAAAACGCATATCTGTTAGAAATAAAGACTAGAAACCACCTGGCATAGCCTGGGCAGATTCAGAACTGTAAATCCTTGCAGGGATGGTGAGCCACAGAACCTCAAGGAAGCAGGACTGGCAAGTGGCAGCGTGGTGACAGAGGGCAGGAGGTGAGAGTGCTCCAGGAGGCTCCACACCTCAGCAGCCCACACACAGCCGGGAACCAGGTCCCTGCTCAGCTGTCACGCTGCAGAGGCACAGAGCCAACTGGCAGAGACCAAAATTAGGACCGAAGACTCTCCGGAGCACTGCCGGGCATGCCAGGTGGACAGACCTACAACCGAGCTCCCCGGGAACTCACCAGCACCTGACCTTCAGAGCTGGAGAAGGGAGTTAGGGGATGTAGCCAGCAAGGTTCGCTCTCTCTCTCTCTTTTTTAAACAGCCCAGGTCCTAGGGTTACTCACCTACAAGTCCAGCCTGCTGCAGGCCCCAAAGGGCAACACCTGTTGTGAAGGCATTCCAGAGTGTGCCCACCACAGCATAGGTGAGGATGGCACCCAAGTTGTCAAAAAACAGACGGCTCGGCATGAAATAGCCTGAGTCGAGTACAATGGGAGGGAGCAGGAAAAGGAAGAAGGTCCCTGGCTCCAGCTGGTACTCAGCCTTCTTGGCCACAGCTAAGACGATGCCTCCCAGCACCAGGCCCAGCAAAATCAGCAGGCAGCTCTCAGGGACCAGAGATGTTACCTTCCGAGACAGGTGAAAAACTGTAATGCAAGAAGACACGGGTATGAAGCCATGGAATGTCCTCCCATACCCTGGCCTACAGTATTCTTTTATTTTTATCCCCCACCCCCCCACAGCTGAGAACTGAACTCAGGGCCGCGCTCTACCACGGAGCTAAATCCCCAACCCC